CTCTCTCTCTCTCTCTCTCTCTCTCTCTCTCTCTCTCTCTCTCTCTCTCTCTCTCTCTCTGTGTCTCTATCTCTCTCTCTCTCTCTCTCTCTCTCTCTGTCTCTCTCTCTCTCTCTCTCTCTCTCTCTCTCTCTCTCTCTCTCTCTCTCTCTCTCTCTCTCTTTAGAGAAATATATTGTAAGCAGATCATAACATTTATTTTGACACACGGCAGAATCTGGGGGGGGGAGGGGCGTTTCTAACTGTTCACCGCTCATTCTTTGCTCACACACATGCTGACATAGAAGCAGTATTGGTCATGTCGCACACAGGCAAGTCCAACTGATAGAATCTGGCCTCTCTAAGTTTTCAGAACCCAGCTGATTTCAACAAAAATGATGCCCGGACAATCGCGGCATATATATATATATATATATTTACGTGTAAATAGGTCGTGCCTTGCTCTCACACGTGCTGACATATATGTAGTATTGGTCATGCGTACACGCAGACAAGTCCAATTGGTAGAATCCTTTTTGTTGGGGGGGGGAGCGTTTCCAAGCTCCGGCCCCTGCAAGAAAACGCCGATGCCCCGAGTGGAAGACCAATAGGTAAAGGGCTGGACATGACATACCAACATGTGCAGCAGAAAATGCCGAAAGTATGCTGCAACTTTCAAGCCGGAGCTGGCAAAGTGTATTGCCTTTACTACACTTGTGCTGAAAAGTTCGGAGCTGCCAAAGTGCGCCTCCTTCACTACACTTGTACTGAAAAGTTGGGACTTTCGAGCTGGAGATGCCAAAGTGTCCTTCCTTTACTACACTTGTGCTGAAAAGTTGCGACTTTCGAGCCGGAGCTGCCAAGGTGTACTTTCTTTACGATACCTGTGCTGAAAAGCTGCGACTTTCAATCCGGAGCTGCCAAAGTGCACGTTCTTTACTACACTTGTACTGAAGCTGCCGAAGTGTATTTCTACTCAAAAGTTGCGACTTTCGAGTCGGAGCTGCTAAAGTGAACTTCCTTTGCTACACTTGTACTGAAAAGTTGCAACTTTCGATCCGGAGCTGCCAAAGTGTACTTTCTTTACGATACCTGTACTGAAAAGTTGCGACTTTCAAGCCGGAGCTGCCAAAGTGTTCTGCCTTTACTCTCTTGTGCTGAAAAGTTGCGACTTTCGAGCCGGAGCTGCCAAAGTGCGCTTCCTTCACTACACTTGCGCTGAAAAGTTGGGACTTTCGAGCTGGAGATGCCAAAGTCTCCTTCCTTTACGACAGTTGAACTTTCAAGCCGGAGCTGGCCAAGTGTATTGCCTTTACTACACTTGTGCTGAAAAGTTGCGACTTTCGAGCCGGAGCTGCTGAAGTGAACTTCCTTTGCTACACTTGTGCTGAAAAGTTGCGACTTTCGAGCCGGAGCTGCCAAAGTGTACTTTCTTTACGATACCTGTACTGAAAAGTTGCGACTTTCAAGCCCGAGCTGCCAAAGTGCACGTTCTTTACTACACTTGTACTGAAGCTGCCGAAGTGTATTTCCTTTACTATACTTGTACTGAAAAGCTGCGACTTTCGAGCGGGAGCTGCTAAAGTGTTGCGCCTTTTCAGCTGGCAAAGTGTGCCTCGAATTGACGTGAAGGGGTTTAAGCGCAAGTTGCAAAAAAGGGATAACCTTTATCTTTACAAGAGGCTTCACGACCTATGTGTGAATAGATCATGCCTTGCTCACGCACGTGCTGACATACATGAAGTATTGGTCATCAGACAAGTCCACTTGGTAGAAACTCATTTTTTTTAAAGGGGGGGGATTTCCAAGTGTTCACCGCGGAGCTGATTTCAAGCTCCACTGACGCCACGAGGATGAAGGCCTAAATATGTGTAAATGGATCATGCCTTGCTCACACATGTGCTGACATTTCTGTAGCGTTGGTTATGTACACTCACAGACAAGTCTAATCAGTAGAGCCTGGAGGGGGGGGATTCCTTCGAGGATGAAGGTCTATATATGCGGTATTAGTCATGCGTACACAGAGACGGTAGAATCTGGAGGGGCAGGGGGCGATTCCAAGTGTTCACCGCCCAGCTCATTTCAAGCTCTGGTAACTGCAAGAAAACACTGATGCCCCGAGGATTAGGGTCTATATATGTATATATGTATGTATGTATGTATGTATGTATGTATGTATGTGTATATATATATAGATCTTGATAAATATATATATATATATTTATAAATAGATCATGAGCATGTTTTTTGACACGCAGACAAGCCCAATTGGCAGAATCTTGGGGGGCGGGGGGGCGTCTAAGTGTTCACCGCCCAGCCGATTTCAAGCTCGGGCAACGTGTACATATACACATACTTGTGTAAATGAATCATTCCTTGCTCACACACATGCTGGCATATAAGCAGTGTTGGTCACGTATACACACAGGCAAATCCAATTGATAGAAAGAATCTGGGGGGGGGGTTCTAAGTTTTCACCACCCAGCTGATTTCAACGAAAAAACGTTGCCCGGACAATCACGGTCTATATGTACGTGTAAATACGTCGTGCCTTGCTCTCACACGTGCTGACAACTATGTAGTATTGGTCATGCGTACACACAGACAAGTCCAACTAGTAGAACCCTTGTTTCGGGGGGGCGTTTCTAAGTGTTCACCGCCCAGCTGATTTCAACGAAAAACGATGCATCGAGGATGAAGGTCTATATGTAAAACAGATCATGCCTTGCTCGCACACGTGCTGGTTCACCGCCCAGCTCATTTCAAGCTCTGGCAACTGCAAGAAAACACCCCGAGGATTAGGGTCTCTTTACATATCTATATATATATATGTGTGTGTAAATAGATCATGCCTTGCTCTCACACGAGCTGACAGAAGGGTAGTATTGGTCATGTATTCACACAGACAAGTCAAATTGCTAGAATTTGAGGTAAGTCTTCACCGCCCAGCTGGTTTAAAGCTCCGGCAACCTCAAGAAAACACCGATGCCCCGAGGATGAAGGTCTACATGTGTGTAAATAGATCATATGTAGTATTGGTCATGTTTACACAGAGAAGAGAATTTGGGGGCGGGGGGGGGGGGGGGGTTATAAGTGTTCATCGTCCAGTTGATTTCAAGCTCCGGCAACCCCAAGAAAACCTTGATGTTTCAAGGATGAAGGTCTGTATATTTATATATACAGTATATACATATGTGTGAATAGATCATGCCTTGCTCACACGTGCTGTAGTATATGTAGTATTGGGCATGTATACACAGAGGCAAGTCCAATTGGGTAGAATCTGGGGGTGGGGGGGGCGTTTCTGAGTGTTCACCGCCCAGCTGATTTGAAGTTTGGGCAACCCCAAGAAACCATGCCGTTATCCTTATCATTTTTCATCGGGCCGCGCAGATTTATGCTTGTTTCGTGTGTTTTGTACAAACAAGCAAATCATCATGTATTCATCACTGCTTCATCATTATCATAATGTGTTCATCTTGGTCCATCATTGTTTCGACCATTTCGCAAGGGTCCTCATCATGTTCACCGTTTTTTTGCGCAAAAATCGTTGTTTTTTGTAGTTGTTTTTTACGCTTCTATACATTTTTGCAGGTATCCGTGGAAACTCATGGGAGAATGATGAAACCATAATGATTTCCGGACAAAGATGCAAATCCTGGGGAAACCCTTGCAAATTCAAGGAAAAGCTAGCAAATCATCATTTGTTCATCATTTGTTTCATCATTTGCTTCACCATTTGTTTCATCGTAACTATTATTGTAACAAAACATCAGTGTTTGGCTGCCCGAAGATCTCTTAAGCCTATCATGTGCGTTTGATTAGTTGTGTAGTTCCGTTGTTTTTCTTGCATGGTCGACTCTTTTCTCTCTCGGGGCAACGCCCGTGACCAACGCTTTTGGAAGCCGCAGGGGTACCTCTCGGGCAACGCTTAGAAACTTCTCTAAGTGTTTGACGGCTGGTAATATGCATCAGAATTACCATGAAGGAGAAAAACGTTTCTAAGTGTTGGTCGGCCGGACCGTTTCTAAGTGTTGAACTGACTGTTTGTTTTTTTCGTTTCTAAGTGTTTGTCCGTCGCAATACCCCGCCCCAAAACGCCACCGAACCACTGACTCGGCTCCGAATCTAGGCAAGCTTTAAGCGGAAAATGGTCCAAACCAGGACCCCGCGAACGTCAGGTTCCATGTGGTAATTGGTTGGAGGGTACCAACTCCAAAAAAGACCCAAACAAAAACTAAAAAGAAATAAGACCCAAACAAAAACAAAAAAGAATGAACAAACCCCAAAGTACCAACTCACAGTTTCTCGTTCCAAGTGCTGCCGCGTGCTGTGCCGTCGGTTTTTGAGGAGATACGTACGGCGCCCCGCCTGTCGCCGCTGGAGTATGCGGCAGGGAGGCCCAGCGTAAGGGGCCCGCCTTGTTTTTTCGCTTTGGGGCGCCCGCAAACATATATATATATATACATAGACAGATATTCATGATGTATACGCACATAGGCCACACCAAGGGCACCCTAGAATGGGCGGGCTTGCGGGAAGATTTTTGAGTCCTGTCTTTCGGTCCACTGTGCCCTTTTCATGGCCAGACTTAGCTCTGAAGGGTGGTCCAACTACTTCCCCCGCCCCTTTTTGTGCGGGGAGTGGGTTTTCCTTGAACATTTGCCACCTGCACCTAACGACCACATTTGTCCATTTTTTGAGCAAAAGAGCTTTCCCGAAGCAATGCTAATGCAACGCGATTCAACTTGGTTTTCCCGAAAGCATGGCGAAGGGTTCTTCCGTTGGATTCATGTGAGCTATCATCATGAGAGTCATTGCAAAGAGTTTTCAATCATCATCAGAGTCATTGCGCAGAGTCATCATGAGAGTCATTGCAAAGAGTTATCATCATCAGAGTCATTGCGCAGAGTCATCATCATCATCATCATGAGAGTCATTGCAAAGAGTTATCATCATTGCACAGAGTCAGAATCATCAGAGTCATTGCAAAGAGTCATCATCATCAGAGTCATTGCAAAGAGTTATCATCATTGCACAGAGTCATCATCATCAGAGTCATTGCAAAGAGTCATCATCATCAGAGTCATTGCAAAGAGTTATCATCATCAGAGTCATTGCAAAGAGTCATCATCATGAGAGTCGTTGCACAGAGTCATAGCAGAGAGTCACTTGCGAGGAGCAATGCTCGTGAGAGTCACTGGCGAGGAGCAATGCTCATGAGAGTTCTCATTCATGACGAGTTTAAAATTCCTTTCTTCTCTTCTTAGGGCGGCGGGGTAGGGCCGACAGCACTCTACGAAAATCAACCCTCTGCGGAGATTCGTGTGGTCGAGGTCAAAAAACTGAGGACTTTTTACGATTTCTGATCTGTGCGAGCGACCCTCTGCGGAGATTCGTGTGGTCGTGGTCAATAAAACTGAGGCATTTTTGTCGATTTTGACATTCCAGGATGAACCCTCTGCGGGGGTCGGCGTGGTCGATGTGCAAAAACTGAGGGCTTTTTACGATTTCTGATCTGTGCGAGCGACCCTCTTTGGAGATTCAGGCTTTTTTGTCGATTTTGACATTCCAGGATGAACCCTCTGCGGGGATCGGCGTGGTCGATGTGCAAAAACTGAGGGCTTTTTCGATTCTGAATATGCTCGCGCGACCCTCTGCGAAGGATCGTGCGTGTCGAAGCGCTCTCGCTGTGGCGCCGTGCGAATTTGTTGCTTGCGAACTGGTCTTTGGAAGTTGTCGCGTGGTCTGCGTGCCTGCTGTCGGAGTCGCGCGGTCGCGGGTTCCATCCCCGCCTGGTCCGCAGCAGCTTTTCTAGACAGAAATCGCAACTTGTAAGCAGCTCCGGCTGGAAAATCGCAACTTGTAAGTACAACTGTAGCACGCGGAGTACAGTCCTGCAGCCCCGGCTGCAAAATGGGTATGCGAAGTACTTCTCGAAAGCTCCGGCAGCACTTGCGCAGAGCAACTTTCACAGAGCGCTGCCGCTTGCGCAGAGCAACCTGCGCAAAGCAAATTGCACAGAGCACTTGCACATAACAGCTAGCGCAGGGCAACTTGGGCAGACCAAAAGTCAGGTGTTCCGTTGGGAGAAGTATTATCATGAGAGTCATTGCGCAGAGTCATCATGACAGCCATTGCATAGGGTCATCGCACAAGAGTCATTGAACGGAGTCATCACGATCGCACAGAGTCATCATGAGAGTCACTGCCCAGAATCATCATGAGAGTCCTTGCACAGAATCATCATGAGAGTCATTGCGCCGATCATCATGAGAGTGATTGCACAGAGTCATCAGGAAAGTCATTGCGCAGAATCATCATGAGAGTCATTGCACAGAGTCATCATGACAGCCTTTGCATATCATGAGAGTCATTGCACAGAGTCATCGCACAGAGTCATCATGACAGCCATTGCATAGAGTCATCACACAAGAGTCATTGAACAGAGTCATCATGAGAGTCATTGCATAGAGCCACTATCAGAGTCATTGCGTTGTAGTCACTGTTTCGCTCGAGGGCGGTATATGTGTCATCTTTGACGTGCTTGGCAAACTCGTGTGAGGGATCCGATAGGTGGCAAGATAGCAGGAACAAGGTTAGTTGCTGTGTATTGCTCGTGACCACATCGAGCAAACAACTTGCGCAGAAATAATCACCAGACTGTGATGCTTTTAATCATTTAGACCCTTCACTTGAGAGTCCCAGCTATTTACATGAGTCATGGTCAAAGCATGTGGGACCCTCATGAGTTGGACCCTCACAGTAGGTTTTCTGGAGCCAAATTTGGGGACGTCAGTTGGATAAGACAACCGGCAGCCACCTGGTTTCGCTTTTAAGGTTGGAGACGAGGGAACATATTTTGACGAGAGATACCCATATTACAGCTCTTTCTAGCCGCGCCTTCCCCATTGTACCCATTCTCAGAACTCCATGGGTTGCCCCGAGTTAAGCCTTGGATTGATTGACCCATCAACATTTTTCTAGCTTCCTTGGCACCCCGAACTTGATTCACATGTCAAGTTACTTGCTCCCTTAAAGGATATCATAGGGGATGCTTTCTAGGGCTCATTCCCTCATGCCTTGCTGTATGTGTCTTCATTCCGGACCTTTTTTGGGTGCACGGGGAATTAAAAGGAGCAAGCCACAAGATTTTGGGGCCCTTGTGGGCAAACTTGACCCCCACGCTTTGCGGGGTCGCCCCAGTCTGCGATCTGAGGAGGTGAAGCAGAGGCTCACCCAGGTGCCACGCCACGTGCCGGGTCCGGGGCTCTTGTTCATGAAGGAATACGAGGAGACCGCGACAGAAGACGTGTCGGATGGGTTCTCGGGTTTGGGTTGGCCTTGGGCTGGATTGAATTGGGTTGGTTTGGTCGGTTTTGCTTCTGACTTGGTGTGTTGTGCAGTTTGGTTTTGGTCCAGTTGCGTTCTGCGTGGGTCGGTCGCATTTGTGCGATTGATTGTTTGACTGTCTGTCTGTCTGTCTGTCTGTCTGTCTGTCTGTCTGTCTGTCTGTCTGTCTGTCTGTGTCTGTGTGTCCGTGTGTCTGTTAGTCTGTTAGTCTGTTAGTCTGTTAGTCTGTTAGTCTGTTAGTCTGCGTGTCTGTCTGTGTGTCTGTTAGTCTGTTAGCCTGTTAGTCTGTTAGTCTGTTAGTCTGTTAGTCTGCGTGTCTGTCTGTGCGTCTGTGTGTCTCTGTGTCTGTGTGTCTGTGTGTCTGTGTGTCTGTGTGTCTGCGTGTCTGCGTGTCTCACACACAGATACACACACAGACACACACACGCAGACACACAAACACAGACACACCCACACAGAGACACACGCAGAGAGACACACACACAAAGACACAGAGACACGCGCACAGTCACACACACAGACACACACACAGACGCACGCAGACAAACGCACAGACACACACAGACACAGACACACACACACACAGACACACACACAGACACAAACGCACACAGACACACACAGACAACATACACACACAGACGCAGAGACACACACACAGACACACGCACACAGACACACACACACAGACACGCACAGACAGACACAGACAGACACAGACACACACACAGACACACACACACACAGACGCGGCAGACAGACACACACTCACACGCAGACACCCACCCAAAGACAGACAGGCAGACAGACAGACAGACACACATACACACCCACACACACAGAGACACACACACACACAGACACACACATACACAGACACACACACACACAACACACAAACAGACAGACACGCGCAGACAGACACACACACAGACACGAACACAGACAGACACACACACAGACACGCACACACACACAGACACGCACACAGACACACATCGCGCAAAACACACACACACACAACACACACAAACACACAACACACGACACACGCAACACACACAACACACAACACACAACACACAACACACAACACACAACACAAACACACAAACAAACACAAAAACACGCAAACACACAAACACACAAACACACAAACACACAGACACACAGACACACAGACACACAGACACACAGACACACAGACACACAGACACACAGACACACAAACACACACACACACACAAACACACGAACATACAAACACAAACACACAAGCACACAAACACACAAACACACAAACACACAAACACACAAGCACACAAACACACAACACACACAAACACGCAAACACGCAAACGCACAAACGCGCAAACACACAAACACACAAACACACAAACACACAAACACACAAACAGTCAAACACACAAACACACAATCACAGAAACACAGAAACACAGAAACACGCAAACACGCAAACATGCAAACACGCAAACATGCAAACACGCAAACACGCAAACACGCAAACGCACAAACACGCAAACACGCACACACGCAAACGCGCAAACACGCACACACGCACGCACGCACACACGCACACACGCACACACACACACACGCACACACACACACACACACACGCTCACACACACGCTCACACACACAACACACAACACACAACACACAACACACAACACACAACACACAACACACAACACAACAACACAACACACAACAACACAACACACGCAAAACAACACACAACTCACAACACACACACACACACACCAACACACAAAACACAACACACAACACACAACACAGAAGACACAACACACAACACACAACACAACACACAACACACAACACACAACACACAACACACAACACACAACACAGAACGCACAACGCACAACGCACAACACACTACACCGAACACACCACGCCCCACACACCGCACACCACACACCACACACCACACCACACACCACACCACACACCACGCACCCTACACGCCCTACACACCCTACACTGTACACGCCACACAGCACACACAGCACACACAGCACACACAGCGCGCACAGCGCACCACACACCACACACCACACCCCACACACCACACACCACACCCCACACCCCACACACACACACCACACACACCACACACCACGCACACACACGCACACACCACACACCACGCGCACCACACACACACAGACCACACAAACAACGCACCGCACCACACACACACCACACACACACCACACACACACAGCACACACAGCACACAGCGCACAGCGCGCAGCACACAGCACACAGCACACAGCACACATTGCACACAGCACACAGCACAGCACACAGCGCACAGCACACACAGCACACGCAGCGCGCACAGCACACACACACACAGCGCACACCACACAACACACACCACACGCCACACACCACACACCACACACCACACACCACACACCACGCACCACGCACCAGGCACCAGGCACCACACACCACACCACACACGCAACACACACACACACGCAACACACACACAACGCACAAACAGCGCACACACACACAGACCACACACACCACACACACAACACACACGCCACACACACAACACACACACGCACAACACACACACACCACACGCACCACACGCACACACCACACATACTAGACACACCACAAACACCACACACACACAACACACACACAACACACACACACACCGCACGCACCACACGCACACACCACACATACTAGACACACCACAAACACCCCACACACCAAACACACAAATCACACACACGCGACACAGAAGACACACACCACACACACACACACCACACACACCCCACACACCACACAGACCACACAGACCGCACACACTGCACACACAGCACACACAGCACACACACACCACACACACCACACACACACACCCCGCGCACACCCCCACACACCCCCACACGACCCGACACACCCCCACACACACATACACCCACACACACCACACACACATACCACACACACACCACATCAACCACAAACACGACACACACACACACCACACACACACACCACACACCACGCACACACACACACCACACACACACCAAACACACACACACACACCACACACACACACGCACCACATGCACCACACACACCACACACCAAGCACACCACACCACACAAACCACACACACACACACCACAGCACACACACACACACCACACACACAGCGCGCAGCGCGCAGCACACAGCACACAGCACGCAGCACACAGCGCGCAGAACACAGCACACAGCACACAGCGCACAGCGCGCAGCACACAGCACACAGCACACACAGCACACACAGCGCACACAGCGCGCACACTGCACACAGCGCACACACTGCACACAGCGCACACAGCGCACACAGCGCACACAGCGCACACTGCGCACACAGCGCACGCAGCGCACACAGCGCACACAGCGCACGCAGCGCACACAGCGCGCACAGCGCACACAGCGCACGCCGCGCACACAGCGCACACAGCGCACACAGCGCGCACAGCGCGCACAGCGCACACAGCGCACACAGCGCACACAGCGCGCGCAGCGCGCACAGCGCGCACACAGAGCGCACACAGAGCGCACGCAGAGCGCACACAGAGCGCACACAGAGCGCACACAGAGAGCACACAGGAGCGCACACAGAGCGCACACAGAGCGCACACAGAGCGCACACAGAGCGCACACAGAGCGCACACAGAGCGCACACAGAGCGCACGCAGAGCGCGCACACAGCGCACACACAGCGCACACACAGCGCACAGCGCGCACAGCGGGCACAGCCGGCACAGCGCACACAGCGCACACAGCGCACGCAGCGCACGCAGCGCACGCAGCGCACACAGCGCGCACAGCTCACACAGCGCACACAGCGCACGCAGCGCACACACAGCACACACAGCACACACAGCACACACAGCACACACAGCACACACAGCACACACAGCACACAGACACATATTACACACACAGCACACACAGCACACACAGCACACACACACACAGCACACACGCACAGCACACACACACACACAGCACACACAGCACAGAGCACACAGCACAGAGCAACCAGCACAGAGTACACAGCACACCGCACACCGCACACCGCACACCGCACACAGCACACAACACACAGCACACAGCACACAGCACAGAGCAACACAGCAACACAGCAACACAACACACTTCAGCTGCGATGACGCTGCCCATGCCCAACGGCCCCTGCGAGACGATCGCCCTGCCAGAGCAAGGCAAACAGCACAGCACACAGCACACAGCACCCAGCACACAGCACACAGCGCACACAACACACAACACAACACACACGCGCACATCACACAACCCACACACACACCCACACACACACACCCACACACACCCACACACACCCACCCACACCCACACACACACACACCCACACACAACACCCTGACACAGCCTCACGCACACACGCACACACACACACACACACCCCGACCCCCACACACACACACACCCACGCACACACACACACCCACCCCCACCCCCACTCACGCGCCCACCCACCCGGTAAGAAAGCAAACTCATAGAACTGCGTTCTTTGTATATGCAGTGTTTGTGGACCAAGAGTAACCTAATAATAAGGCAGCCGCTGACATTGACGCTGCCGATTTGATATGCGCAGGGACAGGGACAGACAGGGAAATAGATCGAAAGAGACAGAAAGAGACGAGACAAGAAACCTAAAGAACTCACCGAAGCAATAGCTCAACAGGTTATCCCCAAACGGGCAACGCCATTGGTGCTCACACCAAGCGTCAACTGCACACTGTGTATCCCTGAGCCAATAATCATGAGCCCACCCGACCAGCAAGTAACCCCCGCTGCACGTTCAGGACCTCGTGCGGGCCTGGGACAAGCGCCCTGGCCGCAAATCCCATAGCGCATATCATCCACCCTCCAACCCGCCCTTTTCCCTTTCTGGTTCCTTCAGAAAAGCCTAAGGCCTTGCTAGAGTCTTATTTTCGGGGCCGCCTGAAACGCTTTCGCCCCCAAGCTTGTTTCTTTATTTACATCGGGCGCACTGACAGGGAGCATATGTTTTTTTTGTGCACCCCCCCTCTATTTGGCCGGCAGCCCCCCCCCTCACCAGGGCCCATGTTGGTTCAAGCGGAAGCGAAGCACATTGCCTTATGGTCGTATGGTACTTTGAGACGAAGCCGCGCTCCGAGTTTTGGAGCGTAGGTCCTTGTTCTTTTGGCATATGAGCTACATTGTTGAGCTTGTGCAGCTGTTCATGCGCAGGTCGAGTCCACTTGAGCCAGATTGAGACTTGAGATTCAAAGGGCGCAAAAAAAAGGACAACTGGGCACTAAATAAACAAGATAATATATGAAAGGGAAGCCAGAAGGCGATGTGTCATTTTCAGTTTTCCAGATCTGTTGAGCAGCCCGAAAACTGGAAGTGCCCATTGACTAGTTGGCAGGAGACACGGTTACGGAATCGAACCGCAACTCAACTGAGGCAGCAGTTGCAGCAGCCCGGCTGCAGTCAATAAATGATCTGGGGAGAAGAAGTGAGGACACTTCCTTTGGGAAGGTCCCTCACCGTTCAGGTTTGCCGTGCATCCCGACCCAAAGAAAACCCGCCCCCGAGGAGCTTCTCGCAGCGTTGGCTGAGAACTGATTAAACAAACTCACTCGAAGCCACGAGCATTCCCATGAAGGGTCCTGGGAGCTCACTTTTTGCATCTTTTTGCATGAATCAATGGGGCATGGAAAAAGACGATCTTTGGGTTTGACATACGCACAAGCCTTTCTCATGATTTTGGCCCAGTGACGGGAAGCAGCCAGAAAAGCAAGTTTGCGGACAGTTTTCCCTTTTCCCTTTTTGAGGCCAACCAAAAAGGGGTATGCCGTTTTGAGACGCTCATATACAGCCAGTGCTAACACTTGGATTTTATTTAGGCTGAGGATTTCTACTCTAACATGAAACCTGACTGGCGGAAAGGGGGGAGAGGGGGTGGAAGACAAGTTTCCTCTAGTTTCAGTTGCCACTACAGTTTGTAACCAGAATCTGTGAGAACCAGGTGTCCTTTGGCGGTTCGAGATACATGAGTTCCACTAGGCAGCTTTATATGATCCATTTACCAGGGACAAAGTGCTCGAGTCCCGTGTGAGATGGGTGCCGGGCATTGCATTTTCCACCGGAAAGTGCGGGCAAGGTGAAGCCCAACTGAGTGACCATTGGCTATTTGGGGTCTTGCCAAGGCTTCCTTTAGAATATAAGCCCAAGGGCAGCACCAAAGCTGTTTGTTTATTGGAGCCCCAGAAAGTGAGGGTTGACTTCTTTGGTTTTGAGACCGACTTGGAACTGGGTTTTGATCCATTCGTGACACATGGTGTTTTTGGATCATGTTTGTTTGGGGCTTAGCCATACGGAACACGGGGAACCGTAGACTTTTAGACTTGATGTTACATATCCAACTATACATAGAGGTTTTCAACTTTCAGGAGGGGATCACTAAACCACTACTCCACACATTTGTTTGGCAGGGTGCGAGGAGTGAATTTCTTTGACATTCGAAGGTCAGAAAAGTGAAACGATCTTCTTGGGGTCAATGGCAAGTTTTACTGTATACCCGCCTCAAGCAAGAAGATCCTGCGACCATAGCACATATGCCAACGGGAGCCAAGGATTAATTAGACCTGCGTCTTTCATGACGAGCTCACCTGAAATTAAAGAGGGTTGACCCATGATGAAGGTTCTTTACTTGCAGATCCCTTATTTCAGGCTTGGGAATTGTTGCAAGCTTTGAAGATCAATCCCTCCAAGTGCATATCAGCCTCAATCCCAGTGAAGGGACCGATCAGTTAAGGGTTGAAAGACATAGGCCCTGGTCTTCTTCCAGCACCTGGTTGGTGCTCTGGTGTGACAAATCCCGGACAAAGCCGGCTCCGTGGAGACCCCAAATTGAATTTGGAACCATTGCCAGGCGAACATTTTGGTGTATCCTTTAACTTGATGGCTCCCAGCCATCCGGTTCCTCAGCTTCTTGGCTTAGGTTTTGTCGGGGGGGGTTCCATTCAGCCCACGAAAGGGGTCCTGAGGCAAATCAACTACCACCGCCTCGTGGACCGCCAGACAGGGGAGGAGCGCATCGTCCGCGGGCCCCAAATGTACGTGCCCGAGCCCACGGAGGACATCGCGGCTCTGCAAGAAAAAATGGGATAGTTGCATATAGGAAGCTGAGCTTTAATCAGGGCCCTTTGTTCCACTTCATCCCAACCCCTTAGTCAACAAGCAGGTCAACGCGGGGATGGACAAACTCCTGCACGGGTTCGTCCATCACATTTTTTTGCAGAAGTTTGTACCTCGGATGGTGGACACGCAGCGGGGTCTCCTCCCACTAAGGATGTTATGTGTCGAAACATTCGCGACACATTCAGGTAACCCCTATTTGGTGGTTTGGATTTAGGTTTGAATGGCCGAAAACCAAATGGTTGGAAGCGGTTTGATCACGGGGTAGCAAGCTTGGGAGCAATGGCAACCCTGGCAAAGCTCAGCGGATTAGCTGGGAGTTGCTTCTCCCCACCCAAACTTACTTCTAGGAGTCTCGAAAGGAACCCATTGGGAATCCCTGAGTAAAAGGTTAAGTTGAGATGCTCCAAGGGTACATATTGGGACATGAGTCAAAATTAAACCAGGATATGGACCGCAGGTTTTAGTCCATGGTTCCATTTGCCAGGGTTCCATTTTGGGCACCCATTTTTGACCCACAGCCATATACCATTGGCCCTTGAAGCCTGTTTAAAGGCAAGCGTGTATCCTTATGCCGGTTGGTGGCGTCTCTTGCTGCAGTGCGCACGGGTGGCAGATGGGGATTGGGCATCCCCACATTTTGAGCAAGGCAGAACCACCTTGGTGAAACTAATGTCTTTGGTTTTTCACGGGCGGTAGGAAGCTCAAGCCTGAAGCTGACCAAGCCCCGGCTCGGTTCATGTCCGAGCACCTGGTCGTTGTCGGGGCGACATCGCGCGCCTTTGACCGGGAAACTGGCACGAGCGCTTGCACGAGCACACTTGCACGAGAAAACCTGCGCGAGCAGACTTGCGCGGGAAAACTTGCACGAGAGGTTAAAACTATTTTTCACGGCAGCGCAGTACGAGATTCCACGGTGTGGAAATGACGAGTCTTCAGAAGTTTTTTCTCGGTGATGCGGTATGCGCAGACATCGAAGCATGAAGACACACATAACTATACGCGCACACTTGCGCAGAGCACTTGCGCAGAGCAACTGCGCGCAGAGAGCGCTTGTAACTTGCGCAGAACAAGTTGGGAAGAGCGCTTGGACAGTTGCTCAGAGAAACTGGCGCAGCGAGCGCTTTGGCAGAGCACTTGTGCAAAAGACTGGCGCAGAGCACTTGCGCAGAGCACTTGCGCAGAGCAACTTGCGCAGAGCAACTTGCTCTTTCGAAGAACACCTGCGCACGGGTTTGCGCAGCGCAGCCTGCGCAAGGTGTTAGGTGCAAGGTGCGGCGCAAGGCGCAAGGCGCCAGACTGCCCTATTGTGCTTGCACGCACTTGAATGTCAGACCGCTGGGGCTGCCCGTGTGCTTGCCAAACCATGCGCGCCCATTCGGGCCACCCGTTTTCTAGTTTGAGAAGGCTACTTTCATGGCAGGTGAAGAAGTTTTGGTTTACTTTGGCTAGACAAATCAGGAAGCGAGGCAACTAGGCGAGTTGAGCGTGTAAGGGGGCTGCTTGCAAGGTGGAGAAGCAGGAGGCGCTCATGATCAGCGCGGCTTGGCGAGCAGGCGTTCGCTTTGCTTAAAGAACTGTTGGCGGAAGGCCGGGGTGTTGGAGGTATTAAGTTTTGCCCGCGCGTGGGCAAGTCCCAAAAATGAGTGGTTCCTTTCCCCTTTGAAAACAAATGCCCCAGAACGGGTTGGCTGCTGACGCGGGCTCGCCTACCATCGCTGCAGAGGAGCCAGTGCGACTTCTACGTGTGTTTTCCCCACCTGACAGGAAGGGGTTGTTAGATTTTATGTTGGAATCCGCGTTTAGCTTCTACACCACGCCCCCACCCAGTATCCGGCCAGAGCAGCTCGGCAGTGGATCCCGCCGAGTATGCCGCAGCAGCTCGTCAGTGGATCCCGCCGCGTTAGTGGATCCCCCCCAGTATCCCGCCAGAGCTGCTCGCCAGTGGATCCCGCCGCCAGAGCGGCTCGCCAGTGGATCCCGCCAAGTATCCCGCCAGAGCGGCTTGGATCCCGCCAAGTATCGCGCCAGAGCGGCTCGCCAGTGGATCCCGCCCAGTATGCTGAGTATCCTTGCCAGCGGATCCTGCCGAGTATCCGCTGAGTATCGAGCCGGAGCGGCTCGCCAGCATTCGCCAGTGGATCGCCAGTATCCCGCCAGAGCAGCTCGCCAGTCTGGTTTTGCTTAATATCCCGCCCGGCGCACAGTTGAATTTACACCCTCCCCCACCACCCACACCCACCCCGACCCCCACTCCCAACCGCCACCCACCCCCACCACACCACCACCCACACCCACTCCCCCCCCCCACCCCCACTCCCCCCCACCAGAAGTCGTAGAGAACGTATATGTACAAGGATACCAACCGAATCCGGACCCAAAGTTATGCACAAGGAGCCATGTGTACTGAAACCTAAGTCCATGGGTTGATTAGCTTGTTGCCAAGCATGGCAAACAACATGCGTTTGAAACCAACAAGTTCGCGTCGCAGCAGTAGGAACAGCAGGTGTGAGGAGCCAAAAATAAAACAGCCAGGGACCAGGGCAACCCAAGACCCGAAAACATCCAGGGAAGGGGGCAGCCCAAAACCTAAACTCCCAAAGTTAGCCCGAGAAAACATGTAATTCTTCGCGCGCAGCTGAAGTGCTCAAAGAACCCTCAAAAAACTTAAGCCATATTTGGATCAGACCAGGCGCCTTTTTCCCTTGAGAGTCAGGGTTGTACGCAACGCTGCTGCAGGATGCCAAACGGCTACGTGAAGATTGAGGTCCCTCCCTGCGCTGACCTGAGCAGGTTTGTGGGTAACTTTTCTCAAGTGAGCGCTGCGCAAAGGCCAGCGGCTTCGCTGGCCGAATTTGGGCGCAGCCTTTTTGCGCGAGCCTCAATCTTGAAAGTTTTGCATCACCGCAGTGCCGGCTGAGGCAACAAGCGCTCGTTGCAGATGGTTATTGGGTTCAGGCAATCGAAAAGCCTAACCCGAAGGCCCATCTCAATGCTATTGAAATCCGTGAGGAGCTCAGAGGCCAATTTTTTTCTTCAACCAAGCAGCACGTTGCCCAAGGTTTTGGCCACGACAACTGGAAAGCTGTTGCTGGCATCACAGACTTCGACGGCCGACGTCGAGGCGGAGAAGTGCAGCTTACAGCCCCGGCAAACACATTCCTGAAGAGTCGAGGCATGCGTATGTCCGCGGGAAACCTGCGGTGGAGAGCCACGCAGTGAGCGTGGTCCAGGCGGCACTTCTGGCGGCCGCAGAGCTGGCCAATGCACCGCTGGCCACGCGCTAAGATTTTTTAGCGTGAAGTAGTTTCTGATTTGTCCAAATTAGGTCCCTCTTCCGGCAGGCTGGGAATGTTCCGCGCTTAGACAGCAGCTCGGGCGTTTGTTTCAAATGCAACTTGGACCGAGGCTTCATAGACCCCGCGAACGGGGGGTTTTGGCACTGGAAACCCGACACCGAAGAATGGCGGCGCGTTTGAGAGCCGTGTCTTTGAGAGCAAAAAGCGCGCCAGCCTGTGCTCTTTTTTTCCAGAGAATCGTTGAGTTGAAGAGAACAAACCTAATCCCTCCCTTGCATTGAAGTTGCCCTTTCTTGCGAAGCACGTGGTGCCTTGCTTGAAACTCTGCTTGGTTCCGCTTTCCAAGCTGTGTCACTTGCAGCTGTTCCCAGTTTTCAAACATTGCACACTTGCGACATAGTTGAACATTTAGAGCCATGGGTGCCCCTAGCTCCCGGCCAGCTCCCCCCTGCTACTATTGGCATCAAGGTCAATGGCGCTGGGAGTGGGCAGTCCGTCAGTGGCTCTGGGCAACTGTCCCATGTCAGTGCTGCGGAACAGAGGCTCGCCCGCTTCGTTTGAGTTATGCGTTTCGTTTCACCCCCCTTAAACAACTTTTCTTGCGTTGTGGCGCAGGTGCAGTTGGATGGCAACATCAGCGAAGAAGTCTGGCAACACCGCCTACATGGCCTGATTGGGAACACGAAACGCGGCAGGCATACTCCGAATGGTCTAATTGGCACTGGCAGCAGATCGTGTCAGTGTCAAAGACCGTGCCTATAGAGCTTGCTCGTTTGGTGCACGCAGCATCCTTCGACTGAGTTTAAAAGTGCGCAAAACAGAGCGAGGAGAGTGCTGCCCCCCACCCCCCACCACCCACCCCCACTCCCCCCCACCACCCACCCCAACTCCCCCCACACCCCCCCTCCCCCCACCACCCACCCACTCCCCTTCACCACCACCCCCACTCCCCCCAACCACCCACCCCACCCACCCCCCCCACCCACCCCGCAAGCCACACTCCCCCCCACCACACCCACCCCCACCCTCCACCACCCACCCCCACTCCCCCCACCACCCACACCCACCACCCACCCCCCACCGCCCACCCACCCCACCAACCCACCCACCCACCCCCACTCTCCCCCACCACCCACCCCCAAGTCTACCAGCACAGACCTTTCCAATTGATAGTGGAACTTGTAGAAAGACAAGTCTTGTGACTCTGTAGGGCCTTAGAAGGAGTTCCCCATGAAGCTTCACAACTTTTTGAAGTCTATCGTGCGTTTTCGGCAACAGTTTCAGACACTCGCTAGTTCCGCCAGAAACTGTTGCCGAAAACGCACGATAGACTTCAAAAAAGTTGACACACCCACTCCCCCCCACCACCCACCCCCACTCTCCCCCACCACCCACACCCACTCCCCCCCACCACCCACACCCACTCCCCCCCACCACCCACCCCCGCCCCACCCACCCGCCCAACCTCGTTGACCGCGCTGGGCGGATTTTTTTGATCACACATATGTTTTTTGGCTGATTGAGTGCTGGAGAATTGGGACATACCAAAATGAGTACGGGGCAAAATAAACCCAGGGGACCGCAGGTTTGAGCCTTTGGTTCCATTTACCAGGGTTCCATACGCATTTTCGAGCCACAACCAAATGTTGGGAGGGCTCAACCGATTTGTTGGGAATCATGTCTACCCACTCAGAACCTGACTGGAAAAAGATCAGGGCCCTCGGAGGCCCTCTGGTCGGTTCCATATGAAGCACTGGTTGCTCAGTCGTTTTGTTTGGCCTTCGTGGACATTCCATGCTTGAGTACCCCAGTGATTCCATGTACCTTCTCAAGTAGGTAAATAAGATAACCACCCTTTAGAAACCAACGGGAGAATGGTTGACTGGTAACTGGGATCCACGAATTAAGAGTGATGAGGGGTTTGGGCCTTGCGAATTCTGAGTTGGCTGCTTTAAGAAGGTTGTTTCGAGCCGGAAGGCCTCACTGAGAAGCACACTGCATGGGTGTTATTACGACAGGGGCCAGCAGACGTGTTTGGAAAGCGTTGATGGCTTTTGTCACTTTGTGAGGATGGATGGCGCAGCATCAAGAACGGCCTCACGGAAACACTTCGAACATCATTTTAGTGTGTCAACTCGGGGTACCCTTCCAAAGACACTGGCTTTGTTTGACGGTTGCTTAAGAAGTGGATGTTTGTTGTTTGGCCCTTTTCGTTGACCCCCCCTTTAAACAGAGAATCAAGGGCACCCTGTTTGGCCCTAAACTGAAGCCTTTGAATTGCCCTCCGGCCTGCCATCAGATTGCCCCCGTCAAGGGCCAGCCAAAATGGGTCTCATGGGGGACCAAGTCAAAGGAACACTGAGAGGGTAAGTGGAGGTGCTGAATACCCGCGGCCATGTTTTGAAGCGCTGTTTGGCTCGGAAAGGGTGATGCTTTTGTGTTGCTTTGGGTTGTGAATAAGCAACTTCGTTTAATCCCCCGTCGAGTTGGCTTTGTTAACGGAACCGATGTTTGAGTTGTCGAGATCGGCTCGCAGACAAGTGGAGTTTGACACACAGACAGGTGGATAAGGCTCTCAACGCAAAGCTTGTTGAGCAGTCATAGGCCACAAGCATTTGAATTCACACAACCGTGTTGTGGCGTGAGTCTTTTGTATCTTTTCGCATTTTTTGTTTACTCTGCCGTGGCGCGCTTCTGGCGTGGCACGTGGCCTGCTGCATTTGTGATGGGCAGCTGCGGGGGAATTTGGAGTCGAAGTCTCTAGGGTGCGGAGGAATGTGTTGTAACGGTCGTAAGCTCGTGAGTGTGGAGGGTGGGGATTGCTCGGAGCAAAGTAATTTTTGAGGGTACCCCTTTTCAACTTGGCCTCTTCTTTTTTGACACACAAACACACACTCCTGCGTCTACTCCAACAAGTTGCGATTCAAGCTGGCGAACCTTCTGACTTACCAACGATCTTGATGGGTGTCTGTTTCTTCAAAATCAGGGTCTCGTAGAATGTTCTTTTCCTTTCACGAAACAAGCAGCCCGTCTCCAAGAGGGTGTTTCTAGACTTTCAGGCTACCTGATGTGAAAAAGCATTCAAAATGCAAAGCCCTGAGTCTCCAAATTACTTCTGGTTTTGCAATGAACCGTGCTAAACATTGCAAATCCACCCCCCCCCGGGCCTGCCAGCGTGAAATTGCCACCGCTTCGCACTGCCCAGCCAAGGCTATTTTGGTTTTCCGGCTTTTTTGATTTCCGTTCTTAGGGCCAGGAAGCTGGCCAGAAACGACGTTCGTGCTGGCCATAAAAGCAGCGGCCGACTTTCCACAGGCCACGCAGCCGCAGCCTGTGATTGGTTCCAGTCTCCCCCCCAACAAGCTTGTTGTCCAACGCTTATAGACCATGGTTGCCGACCATGGTTAAACAAATTGACCGCACTTTGCTATTTGGCTGGGTCCCAGGTAAGTGGTTCCCTACAGATGTCTTACGCACATGTGCGCGTCGGAGATCCCTTGTTCGCATCGAGGCCTTTGAGGCAATCATTGTGGAGAACAAGGGCACCGGCGGCGCTGCCAGAGTTTGCTCGACAGCGCGTTCGAAACAAACACGCAAGGTCTTAAATGGGAGGCAGTGTCCACGTGTTCAACTTTTGGTCGTCCAAAGTGAGCAGTCCGGATCACCTGCGTTCCCACTGGTAAGAAGGCTGCAGTGTCAGACTAGCATTTGGATTCAATCACACCCACAGCATGATGCACGCATTGACATTTCATGAAACCGATTGCCATACAGGCTGGAGGTAAAAGAACCGTTGCCCGCTCGACATGGTAGCGGAGCCGGTGCTGTAAGACCTGCCCTTGAGCAGGCAGCCCGGCTAGGGAGAACCACGACGGCCCGATCAGGGATCTCGACCACCAGGAGAGCAAAAGTGCCCTGGCTACCAATCCTCCTGCTGCTGGGCACGATCGCAGAAAGCTCTGGAGTAGTTCCGAGCTGGACCCAGGAGGTTGTCAACATCGGTGGGCCTCAATTCGAGTTTGGTGGTCGGTGGAAAGTGAGAAGGTTGGAGGTGCAGCCGGCGCAAGTCAGCTACGACCTGGACGACCTAGGTGGCCTTGAGAAGTATAGGTACAAGGCGGACTATACGGAGGTGAAGAGGATCTATTTGCAGATCTTTGCGGAGGTCGTAAAACGGACCTTCATCACGATGGCCGAGCAGCTTCAGCAGATCAGAGAGGTGCTGGATGGCCTGACCCGCAACCAGGAGCAGAATCAGTGGGCCCGGAATGTCAAAGGGCCGGAAGTCTTCAAAGCTGACACCCGCGAAACCGAGTTGAAGCAATGGGAGGACTGGAAATTTACTTTGGAGAACTGGGTCAAAGCGGTGGACCCAGAGATGTACCTGGACATGAAGCGGGTGGCCCAGAACGCTGAGGAAGCGATCGATTGGAATGAGCTGAGCGATGCGAGAATGGTGAAGAGCTTGAGGCTCTTCGGAGTGCTGGCTTCGTATCTACGGGGCCGGGCACTCAACACACGCCAGAAGAGAACGGCTACGAAGCATGGAGGCTGCTGCTGAGAGACATGCAGCCGAGCACAAGGCAGAGGGCATTGGCTTTGATGACCCAACTGTCGAGGATCACCTTCGCCCCGAACAAGTCCATCATGGAGCAGCTCCCGGCCTATGAAGCCCTGGTCAGGGAGTACGAGAGGGTCTCATCTCAGGTGTACCCTGAGGACTTGAAGGTTGCATCAATCCTTTCCGCCTGCCCTGTTGGTGTGAGGACGCAACTGCAGATGATGGTGAACGAGGAGACGACGTTTGAGTCGCTGAAGGGAAGGATCGAACAATACGAGGCGATCACTACGAAATGGAGCACAGAAAATGTGCTCGGCTTGCCCAGTCAGACAAGCATGGAGGGTCCGACCCCAATGGATGTGGACTACATCGGCGGCTATCAGAAGGGCAAGAAGGGCAAAGGAAAGGACGGAAAGGGCAAGTACGGCAAGGGTAAGTCCAAGAAGGGACAAAGCTACAACGACTTCAGGGTCAAGGGCAAGTCCAAAGATGAGAAGGGCAAGTCCAAAGCCAAAGGCAAGCAGGACCGAGGCAAGGGCAAAGCCAAGGAGCAATGCTGGAACTGTGGAAAGCCAGGCCACAGATCCAGAGAGTGCTGGGCCCCAAGGAACATCAACCAGGTGTAAGGAGATTGGACCAACTATCCTGCTTCGCCGCTGGCATCAGGTACTACCGGAGGTGGATCTACGTCAGGTGGAGCAACAAGTGCGGCGAGCTCATCAGCAGGCACAGCAACCGTCAGGATGATCAGGCTGGTCACGCCGCCCGACATGAATGAGATGAGGATGTTTGACCTCACTGCCGGAGAAGACGAGTTCCTGGGGATGATCCAGGAAATTGATGACGAGAGCTACTCGGTGCTGATGGTAAAGGGCGAGAACGATGGGCCATACTACGATGCCTACGAGCCCGTGGTGGAGGAGATTGGAAAGGCCACGGTGGTGGCTATGGACTTGCAGGACGATAACTTCGAGACGGAAGACGAGACCTACCAGGTGAACATGGTGATGGACGAGGAGATGGATCATGGATGGTCCAAGGTGGTGATGACGGTGGACTCCGGAGCGGACATCTCAGTCCTACCGGAGGAGTTTGCTGGAGTTGGAGAAGAAGCCCATGGTGGTGGAAGACAAATCATCATGAAGGACGCTCAGGGCAACATCATCCAGCAGAGCGGAACGAGAAAGGTGAATTTCGCCATGATGGGCAAGGACGGCATCCCGGTGAACTTTGTGGAGAAGTTCATCGTGGGAAAGGTGAAACACCCCATCCTATGCGCTGGACGTCTCTGGGAGATGAGAAGAAGTGAGGATGGGCTGAACCTCTGGCACAAGGAATGGAACACGGTGGAGGTTTGTGCGCTCGAAGGCTTCCTGGGCGCGAGCTTCAAGGAGCTGGAGAAGACCCCCGGCTGGCACGTATTGCCAAATGGCCTGGCGGCCTACAGTGATCCGGTGGCCACACAGCTGCTGGACCCGTCAGGCACCTTTGAGTGGAAGGCGAGGATGACCTTCATGAAGACCAAGGATGGCAAGTGGATGCAGGTCGAGAACGTGAGCGACTACACGGAGCTGGGGAACATGGCGTTCAGGCGTTTTGGCCCCACAGAAGCCCGGTGACACCATTCCCCACTACGTTCAGGGAGCTCCAATCAGATGAGCTAGGCTGGTCAGATGAGGAAGTCGGAGTTGGAAATGAGGAGATGATGCGAGAAGCGCCAGCAGAAGGTCATGAGGATGAGGCAGCAGCTGAGGAGCGCGCTGGACAGCGCAAGGAGGTGGAAATGGATGCAATCAGGTACAGCCTCTACAACTCCCTGAAGGAACTGCGAGAAGGATGTGAGAGGCATGGCCTGCCTACCTCAGGGAGCAAGTCCAAGTTGCTCATGAGGCTGGACAACTTCAGGATGGACCTCGAGGCCAAGATGCAGACAGAGATTGCGAGAAAGCTGTACCGCGAGAAGGAGCGGAAACCAGTGTCTCTGGGCATTCCAAAGAGGCCATCCCTGGAGCAGCAGAACGAGCACAACCTCACGCACTACCCTTTCGCCGGCTGGTGCCAGGCCTGCACGCGAGCAAAGGAGGAAGTCCACAGGAGAGACGCCCGGAAGGACGTGGAAAGCAACAAAACGGTGATCAGTTTCGACTTTGGCTACACCTACGTGGACGACTACGGCAACGAGAGAAGCCCAGAGGAGGTGAGAGATGCGGACGATCAGTGTGGCACTGTGTTGTATATCGCTGATCATCACACGAAGGCGGTTCACGCAGTGCCTGTGCTGAGCAAAGAGAGCCCCCAACCTCAAGCTGATGGTGGAGGAGCTGGTCAGATTTGGCATGCAGGTGGCTGGAGGAGACCCCGTGATTTACCAGAGCGACGGGGAGAGGTCAACAAAGCAGCTTCTTCGAGCTGTTCAGCATTGCAGGGCCAACCTAGGCTTGGAAACCGAGATCCGCATCTCAGGAGTGCAGCAACATGCCTCGAACGGGCAAGCAGAGAGGACAGTGCAGAGTGTGAGAAGGCTGGCAAATTGCCTCAGGTACTACGCGGAGGAGCAGGCCCAGGTGACGATTTTGGGCAACTCGCACGTGTACCCATGGAGCTTTAGACACGCTTCATGGCTGATCAACCGGTACCGCGTGCTGGAGAAGGAACGGAGGACGAGCTTCGAGGTGTGGTCAGGAAGAAGGTACCAAGGCAAAATCTGCCTGTTCGGCGAGAGCGTCATGTACCGCCATCTCACGGCATTCAAGGGCGAGCCCAGGTTTGGAAGAGGCATCTGGGTTGGCAAATCACCCTGGACGGATTGCCACATCGTGCTCACACCACGCAGTGCTGTGGAGTCAAGGACTGTGAAGCGGATCCCGGATCAGTTCATCGGCACTGACTTGGTGATTGTGAAGGGACTGCCCTGGAACTACTCCGCCTCCGGGGTGCTCATGAAGAAGACAGGACCACGAAAGAGGATCGCATCAGCAGCTGATGAGGCAGAAGAAGGCGAGAAGATCGAGCTGGACAAGGCTGAGGAGCAGATAGAGGAGAAGAAGGCAAAGGAGGCTTCTGAGCGACAGGCGCGAGAAGCTGGGATGGCAGTGGCTCTTGGGCTAGCTACCCCAGGACTCTTCGGAGGAGGACAAACCCCAGCCAAAACTGGGCTGATCACCCCGAGGTTTGCAGAGAAGAGGAAAGCCGAGGAGCCCAATGAGGAAGGCGACCCAACAGCCACATCAAGCTCATCGGCACTAGCATCAGCAGAGGCAGCAGCAGCAGCAGCAGCAGCTCGACCGGAGCCCTGGGTGTTGAGGCAGATGCCTCCACCCCCAACAGCGGTGATGAGTGATCCTGGAGGAAGGAAACAGGAAGAGGAGGAAGAGAGCGCAAGAAGGGCGAAAGCCATGAGGAGATCAGAGGAGGCAGCGTTCCATGGAGCTCGAAGGCCAGGTGAGGATCTCAGTGAGGAGGAATTACCGGCAAAGAGGAGAGGAGTTGATGAGTTTAGCATCAACGAGATCACGGTGATGCCCCATCCATGGAGATAGCAATGCCTGGGATGAGATCGAGAACATAGGCGAGCTCGATATGAATGAGGACCAGAAGACCCCGATGGTTTGGAGACGGTGGATGATGAGCTGCAGGTCATGGAGTTCGACCAGGAGGAGATTCAAAGGATGGATGTGAAAGCCGAGGAGGAAGAGATATCGAGGCTTAAGGCAATGCCTGCCTTGATTGAGCTGCAGCCACATGAAGAGAATGACTACAACGATATCACCACCAAGATGGTCATCACTTGGAAGAAGAGAGAGGAGAAAGGCGGCTGGTTCAGAAGAGCCAGATTGGTCGCCAGGCAATTCCGGTGGAGCATAGATGTGGAGGACTCCTTCGCCCCCACGTCACTGATGGCGATCCCGAGGATGAGATTGCACCTGGCGGCCTGCTGCCCCGATCACTACGGAGTCCAGGTCATCGATGTCAAGGATGCTTTCTTGATGGTGCCTCAGCCGGAGGATGAGAGAGCATCGGTGACCTACAGAGGAAAGAGATATAAGCTGGTGAGGTGCCTTCCGGGGCAGAGGACCGCAGCGAACAGGTGGTATATCCACTTCAGGGATGCTGCACGTGAGTTCGGCATGGAGGACGACGTGATGCAGCCTACCCTGATGAAGCTGAACAGGGAGCTCTACATAAGCTTGCACGTGGACGACCTCCTGATGGTCGGCACTGAGGAGAAAAGGAGGGAGTTCATGGAGTTCCTGAATGACAAGGACTGGAAATGTGAAGTGCAAGGGCCATTTGACATTGGCGAGAGCTTCGAGTACCTCAAGAGGAAGATCGACCGGACCTACGAGGGCTTTGTGATCAGGCCGGACCCCAAGCACATCGAAGACATAGCGCAGAAGGCCGACATTAAGATTGGCAACTACAAGAAGACCCCCGCGAGGAGCGACCTTGGGAAAAGAGATGGCAGTGCAGAACTGTCGAAGGTGGAAACGTCGCCATTCAGGTCGATCGTGGGGAAGATGCTGCACATTGGAGGTGAACGGCCTGACTGCCAACATGCCATCAACGCCTTGGCGGCATGGATGTCAAAGCCTACGAGGACGGCGTGGAGGCATGCAGAGAACTTGGCAAGCTACTTGGTGGCCACGGAGTTCTACGGCTTGCTCATCAAAAGCAGCAGGTGCGGGAAGTCCATGCTGGACATGAGAGAAATGCAGGATGTGGAGGTGAAGAAAGTGCACTTGCTGGAGGTCGTGACGGATAGCGACTACGCCGGAGATCAGAACTCCAGGAAGAGCATCACGAGCTTCCAGGTGTTCCGCGATGGCAACCTCATGGAAAGCAGAGTGAGGAGTCAGAAGAGCATCTCACTGTCAAGTGGTGAGAGCGAGTACGTGGCCATGGTGTCAGGATGCAGCGAAGGACTTTTCCTTCGGCATGTGTGGTCCTGCCCTGGTGTGCAGGTCAGACAGCAGTGCCGCCAGGGGAATGTGCAGCCGTGTTGGGATTGGCAGGACGCGTCACCTCGACGCAGTCATGATGTGGCTGCAGCAGAAGTGCCACGAGAAGGTGATCAGGGTGACGGCCATCCCGACGAGCATCAACAGCGCGGACATTGGCACCAAGGCCCTGGCACGCGCCAGAATGCGCGGGCTCATGTTCATGCTGAACATGGTTGATGAGGACAACCGCGAGATTGGAGAGGACGAATTCCACGAGATCGAACGCAAGATGATGGCAGACAAAGGTGCCAAGAAGATCCTGGGCACCTTGAAAGGCGAGTACCGCATGGCTCTGGTGGTGGCTTTTGCCAACATGATTTCAGCCAACGGAGCTAGGGAGGAGGAAGAGCCCAATGGAGCGGGGAGTGAAGACTGGAGTTGGATGTTGCTGGCCATTTTGGCCGGCATTGGAGCCTTGAGCCTGGTCAGGTGGCTATGGCTCTCCTTCATCATGCGGATCAAGAAGGAGATCAAGCGGATGCCCGAGAAGGCAACGGCCCGGGAATTTGAGGACAGCGAGCCGGAGGTGAGCGAGGCACGAAGGCCTAAGCAGGCCAGACTCCGGCATAAGACAATCCGGATCACGCCAACGGGAACCGTTTTCCACACGCACGAAAAGTGCCCCCACTACAAAGGTGGGCGGGCGCTTGGACATTGTGCCAAATGCTGTGGGTATGAAGGCAGCATGTCAGACTAGCATTTGGATTCAATCACACCCACAGCATGATGCACGCATTGACATTTCATGAAACCGATTGCCATACAGGCTCCAACTTTACTGGAGGTAAAAGAACCGTTGCCCGCTCGACATGCAGAAAGGAAGCTTCACGGGCAGTTGTTTTCCCTTTCTTGGCGAAACCCATTCGTTGGTGGATCAAACAATATCATTTAAGCCCCCTCAATAGCAGCCAACATCTTTCCAAGGGCGGGGGATTGTTGCAGCGGCAAAGGCGGCTGGCCTCTGTCCGCCAAGAAAAGGTAATCTTTGCCGGGCCTGCAAAATTGGAACAGGGTTCTGTGTCATTTTGAAACTACATTGGGCATGACTGGATAATTTCTAACTGGTAGAAGTTATTTGGTCGCTTAAGCGGAGGGTTTCTTCAGACATGCCAACAGCGAATCGCCAGGCCTGAAACGCCTGGTGAGCCAGCCCGGGCTTTGGTACCCTGAGCCCTACGAGGCGCATGAAGCTGCGGCCGTGAGTGTGTTTGTTGGTCTTTCTTTGCTGCTTGTTCTTTGGACTTCAAGAATAAATCACGACCTGTTGATGTTTCACGGAGACATACGCGCGAGTGTTTTGGCGAGGGTGCCCCTTTGAAGGTGTGTTTTTGAGGGACAGCAAAAGAAAAACACAAAAAGAACACTATTCTACCAAGTTGACAGGGACATGTTACAGTTTGTAAGCGCTGAGAAGGCAAACACACTGAAGAGCAAGCGCAAGAGAACGCGGCACAAGGGACCCCGCTTGATATGAGATCACTTTCCAAAGAGTTTGTGCCTCTTTCCCTTGCCTTCCCCAGGGTCCATATTGTGAAGACATGTTTTGTTGAGACATGTTTTGGGCGCTGACCGAACTGCCTTGCCAACTCACGGGCTCCAGCTTAAGCCTTAATCCAAGCCTAAGCCTCCAAATTTGGGCTTAGGCTTACAGCTTTTCCCTTCGCAATGGGCGAATCCCTGACGCTGAAATCACGGTGGTCAGACCCGGTGCTGAGTGGGCGGGAAAGGAAACACATGGTTTGATTGCGAGACGGCCAGGTTTCAGACCTGTTTCAGACAAGCTCTCCAACCCGTAATGTCACATCATATCACACCACGCGCCGCACGCATGCGTGACATGTATACTCTGTACATGGCACATGTTTAACTATGTTTGTGTGTATGTGTTTGTATATGTATATGTTCAAAATGCGCACCGTTCTACAGCGACCAGATTCAACACACAAAAGCTCCCAGGGCGTAAGAAGGCGCAAGGGACACACCACTTGCCCCCCACCCCCCACCCCTTTCCCTCGTGGAATGGGTGGGGGGTCTCTCCAACCTTTCACACAATACTGCGTCGTATGATGTCACGTCATATCACACCACACCCCGCAAGAATGTGTGACATGTATATTCTGTACATTGCATATGTTTAACTATGTTGATGTTTATGTGTTGTATATGTATATGTACGTGACGTGTATTTGCACACGTGTATGCATGTACAGCGTATCACATCATGCCATGTGCATGAGCATTGGGTTGTGTCTGTATCATCATGCCACGGCCATGTCACGTCATGCCTTGTTTTGGGGCATGTGTATTATCATACTGTATCGCACCTTCTCATCTCATGTCATACCGCATCATATCCATTCATTTGATGCACGCTCAATGGCACCAGCTCGCCAGGTCCTGGTGGAGTGGCGCACCGCCAAACTCATCGAGGAGACGGACTACGCGGTGGTGAAGAACATCCTGCGCCTTTCCGAATTTTCCCGTTTTGCCCGAACAGCTGAAAGAGTTCTCCGTTTCTTCAGCGACCAACTTTCTACTGTGAAAGGGTTCTTATGTGTGCATCCCCGTTTTGGGCTCCGGCCGGAATGCCTTTTTGTGAGGGGGACACCACCTTAAGGAGTCGTACAAGGCGTTGCAACGCGTCTCCTTCCATGCAGGGAAGCCAATGGCAAAATGGTCGTCTCTTCGGCCCAGCAGGCCAACTAGGGCCGAGCAGGCTGAGGCCAACTAGGGCCGAGAGCGCGTTCTGAGCATGACGGCGCAGATATGCCGACTTGGATGCGACTCATACACACACAGATATCTAAATATATATTACGATATACTTATAGACACATGTGTATATATATGTATACATAAACCCGGGCAATCGTGAATCCGGAGTAGACCTAGGTTAGAGGTCTCACTACCCTTTCCCGGGCATTCGTTATGGGTTCCAGTCAATAAACTTGACATGCTAATCATATGTTATCTAAACCCGAGAGTCATGCTATGACAGGCCTTAAAAAACAGTAGCGGCGAGGGCGCGCTATGCGCAGTGTACGCGCGGCGTGCGCGCGGCGTGCGCGCGGTGAGCGCGCAATGAGCGAGCAGCGCGCGAGCGGTGCGCGGCGGCACGCGCGGAATGCGCGCGGCGAGCGTGCAACGAGTCAGCGACGCGCGAGCAGTGAGCGGCGGCGCGCGCGAATCAAAGAGTCTCAAGCTGGTTTAGGGCGTTTGCTTGGCTTTGAAGAGTTGGTCGGAGCCGGCGCTATACGCAAACAGTAACAAGACCGACGCAAGATGAGGGCATCGCTCGAGCTCAAAGACAGAAGAAGTCGACCACTGGTGATCGAAGAAAAATTGCCCAGGATCCACACTTAAGGTGTTGCAAGTTCAAGGTTGCTCCTAGCAAAACTCATCCAAAGATGGAGTGACATGTGTTTCAAGTTGCAGGTTCCAACCAGCATTACCAGTTGCAAGCGCAAGTCGAATGAGTCAAGCAAGTCACAAGTTGGGGCTGCTCCACCCATGAGTGTCATCATCTCATCAAAGTGTATTTGCATTTTGGCAATTTGTGGCCGTAGCAGGTTATTTCTATATCAGCCATGAGTCAGGAAGAAAGGGCATGAATCAGGAATCGTCGCGTGATGGATCAATCATGAGCCTGACTCACCCTCAGCGCCAATAGCAGTTTTGGCCCAGTTTGTCTTTGGACATCAGATCAGGATCGGATTGATATGAGTTTGACACGCGCCCGCAAGTCTCTGCGCTGGCCAAATATGGTCAAATAGGAAGCTTGCGCACTGTGCGTTCAGGCCCCAGTCAGTTAAGCAGCTTAAGCAGCGTGTGTCTATGAAGTTGGCCACGATTGTTCAGGGCACAAGCCCGCCGATTCCTGAGGATGATGTCAGTCTCAATGTCAGTCACTGCCACTCTTTTACCGCCCTTCTGCAACAAGCCCTGGTGTTCGGGGGGCCCTTTCCTTTGGTGGCTTGCCATAAGCACCGCGGTGCCTCCTATGGTGCACCGTGTGTACGCGTGCGAGATCTGAGAGGCTGAGAGAAGCACCTGTGAACATGTGGGAACGCAATAGTTGACTGGTGCCACCTTCATTTCAACTTTAACTGGAAACTTCACTTTTGACTCTTGACGGTTGACAGAGTGAACTTTAATCAAACTAACTTTGCGAGATCGCCGCAAGCAGAGTCATGATGTAATGTATAGCTACTTGACCTGCGTCGCACCGATTGGTCCATGACCAGTGTCAGTGTCACTCGTGACATGACTCGTGACATGACGCGTGACATGACTCGTGACTCATGCCTCACATCAAACAAACTCCAGCGTCTGGCGCGCAAGCAATCTTGTTTCCTTTTGGGTGTCGCAGGTAGCCCAGCATTACCTTGGAAGGGGCCACCGCATGGTTCCGGTCGGCCAGTCCCATTGTGCTCAACATCATGAGTCGCATGAATCACGATGACTAACAATATGGGGCCGTAGGGCGCGGCGAAGGTTTTCCCCTAGCTGTAGATTGCGGACGCGGATTCGGACTCAGGCAACCCAGGAACACTACCCGACTGCGTGCGAATCGGATCTGCGAATCGGTGAATTAGTGCACCGGTAATTTGACGATCCTGAGATGGGCCATGAGTGTTTGGTTTTTGAAGCTTGCCGCCTTTCCGCTTGCAGTAGCTCATGCGCTAAATGTTGCCCCGTGTGAGCCGGTGCGCAACAAACAGCTGTCTATAATTGGGTGGAAACCACCTGCCAATTGACGACACAAGTAGTAGCTTGCGAGATGCGAAATTTTGACTGGCCCTTGTACAGCACGGCAGCATCGTTCAAATCACATGATTCTGCAGGTATGAGTCATCAGATGACACGCCAGCCATCACTAGCTGAAGTTGAACTGACAGCGACACTAGATAGCTGAGGCAAAAATCCCAAGGCCTAAGATGAGTAAATCACGGCAACATATTTGGCTTAAACCAACCACCACTGGGTGCAGTGTTCAGTCCTCCGGACAAACAAATCATTGCGCAGATGCAAAGTGTCAGTGTGGTTTGTTGTTTCAAAATGCTTGCCTGGTGGAAACCTGGTTGGCAGTTGACACCACATTGGTGCATTATGCAAGCAATGCGCATTGCCGAGCGCAAGGTAGACAGCGGATGTGATGAAACATTGCATGTGACTCAAGCTCCGTGGCCCAGCGTCTGCCTGCCACATCAGACGCTGCTTTTTTTGCGGGGCCAGCAGTTTCTTCACCAAGTCAATAGTATTTCTCATATGTGGCTTGGGCGAAATCCTGCGCCACCAATGATGAAACGTTGAAATTCCGTTGAAATGATGAAACATTGATGGGACGCAACACGCGCAAACTGGCCCCAAACATGTAAACCATAACGTTTGATTGGTTTATTTGATGCTTGACTGGCATTCGCACGATGGGTTCTGATATTGTTTCCATCCTTCCGCAGATACGACTAGAAATTGGCGACATGCGTGCGACTATTGCGCTGCCTCGGGTGAGCTAGTCTGAAACTTGCCAAATCAATATGTGAAGCGTGAGCAGCATGTTGATTTGGCAAAATCGTGTACCTGATTCATGACGGGTAGTACAATGTAGTACAAGTGCAAGTTCTCGGGCCAAATAAACCACCCGCCAAGTGGTGCTGGAGGTTGCGTTTAGTTCTCAGCGTCGGTGACAGACTGGCTCTCACGCATCAACAGCTACCGCACGCTTTGAGGCTGCCGACGCAACACTTGTATTTCTGGCGACACGGTGTGTTGAAGAAAGAAACGCAAAGTGGAATGCCATCAGCTGGTCTGGCCATAACGCCGTACAAAACCAAAAATGTATACGTGCCCATGGATACACATCGTCTGCAAACCCCCCCCCCCCTCAGCGAACAAGTGTGTCACGTGCGCGCGCAGCGTGCGGGTGTGTGCGTGTGTGTGCGCATTGCGCGCGCGCGCGTGCGAACTATACGCGCGGGCGCGCGCGCGCCGTACGCGCGCACTGCACGCGTGCACTGTACCTGCTCACCGTACGCGCGCGCTGTACGCGAACCGTACGCGCGGACTGTACGCAAAAAGTGTGCGCCAAAATCTGCTGTGTTTTTTTCAAAATCTGCTGCCTTTTGTAAATCTGTTGCGGTTTTTCAAAATCTGCTGTGATTTTTTACACGTGCGGTCGGCCGTACGGTACGGGGCGCGCGCGCGCGCGCGCGTACGGTGTGTACGCGGGCGCGCGCGCGCGCGAACTGTACGCGCAGAGCGCGCGCGCGCGCTGTACGTACGCACCGCGCGCGCGCACTGTACGTACCGCACGCGAACCGTACGCCCGGACTGTACGCAAAAAGTGTGCGCTAAAATCTGCTGTGTTTTATTCAAAATCTGCTGTGTTTTTTTCAAAATTTGTTGTGTTTTTTTCAAAATCTGCTGTGTTTTTTTGTACGTACGGTCCGCGCGTACGGTGGCCGTACGGCACGGCGCGCGCGCGCGCGCCGTGAACGTACGTGCGACGCACGCGCGCGCGCGCGAAAACCGCACGCGCGCGCACCGCGCGCGCGCTCGAACCGTACTCGCGGACTGTGCGGAAAAAGTGTGTGCCAAATTTCGCTGTGTTGTTTTCAAAATCTGATGTGTTTTTTTCAAAATCTGTTGCGTTTTTTCAAATCTGCGGTGTTCTTTTCGCACGTACGGTCCGCGCATACGGTGGTCGTACGGTATGGGACGCGCGCGTGCGGTGCGCACGTACGTGCGGCGCGCATGCACGCGCGTGTACGGTGTACCGCGCACGCGCGCGGTGTACGTGTGCGGAGCGCGCAGTGCGCGTGTATGGCGCGCGTGAGACTCATGTCTGTTGCGCAGCCAGCGCGTTCAGCTGCTGATGCTTTTGAACCCAGCTTCAGGTCATTGGGTTTGCTTTGCTTTCTCAGTGACAAGAAATACCCACACTCATTGACTCCAATGTGAGGACGCGCCGGTTTTCCACAAGCATACACTTAAGGGCAAGAGCTGCTCCAGAGGCAGGCGTTGGGGTTCCAAAAAAAGGTTTTGGACGCTTCTCAGAAATCAGATGACGGACCTGGCTGGAAACTGGTCCCCGGACATCAAAATATAGTATGTAGGCTTTGACACTTGACAACCGTGGCGACGGTTGCTTGAATCTTTCTTTTCAGTAGACTTTTCAGATTGCAGGACCTATAACGAATCACTCTACTCTAGAATCTGGAGACCCGAACTTCATACTGGTCCGATTCACACTGGTCCACAACATAGATGGGATTGATGATTTTCAGGGCTGCCGACCCCACGCCAAAGGCATGTGTATGTGTAAACGCATGGGTACTTAAGCCTGAAGCTTGTGAAACGTCTAAGCTGAATCCCTTGCAAGGGGCTTATCGGGTTGTTTCTTAGCTAAACGCCGGTGATATGGGTGGTCATGACCACTTCAAGCAAACAATAAACCGGTATCTTTCTTAAAGATCTGTTGATGCACTCTAGTCTGCGGATCACTGCAACATCAACTCTCAAGAAGCGGACAGGCGCTGGGAATGTCAGACACCATTAGCGTCTGGGACAAAACGCTCTCAAAATGTTGCCCCTTTGCGTCGCCAGCGTCACCAGCAAATCCAAACATGACATTTGAATTGTAGAAACAAAACTAAAGAAACAAATTGAGACTAGCGAAGTTCGGGCGGCTGTGTCTGTCGAGTATTCCAGCTGAGTATCCCGCGCAATGTGTTGAAATCGTTTTCTTGATTAAAAAACACTGGTGATGATGCTCAAAGTGATGACCGCTGTAAGTAAACAACAAATCGTTTCCTTTGCTAAAGCATTGGTGATGCTGAGGGACCTACTCTAGTCTACGGTGGCCTAGAAGGAATCGAATTCCAAAGGCCCAAAGGACAGTTTGCGCTGCGTCACTTATGATTCCGATCTACATGCATATATGTATGTATGTGGACATAACAGGAACGCAGCAGCACCATCCTCAACACCACCAGCGCAAGCATTCCCTGGACCAAAACACAAGTGATGCTGGGGAAGACCTGATGTGAGGTTGCGAAATTTGCACTCAAGATCATAGGACCTTTTCTTGGGCATCATGCTATAACAAGCATCAAACTTCTTGTTTGGCGATAGCCTGCTTCCGTTCAGTGTCTTGCCAACGTTGCCAAATTTGACCTACTTCATTCTCGACGGCTTGTTTAGCCCTACGTGCCTTGGGGGCCAAACAAAAAGAAGCCCGCTTCCAGCAATGCGCTCGGAAGGTCTGCTCAGCCATCAAGAAATCCCTTACCATTAAGATCCAAAAGAGCCAGCGGCGCAGGTAAAAGCTATTCTGGATGGAGAGTGAAGTACAGTAATGACGATACGAGCCCGGGCCCTACATCTACGCCGGACTCATCGCTGGCAGCAAACACATAACGCTGAATTTTGAGTCTGAGCTGGACAGTTAATGAAGTGAAGTAATGAAGCAACCGCCCTTTCTTTTTGAAGGAGGGGTCTGCGGATACTGTAACTACACAACAACCGCTAATGTTGAATCTACAGAGACTTCAAAACTTTGAGACACATTGGCTACAATTCCTACTTAGCTCATTATTTGCAGCTTCACCTCACCTTCATTCAACAGCCCCCAAAAAACTGTCAAACGCAACCTTGCCTTCAATTTGTCTCCCCTGCGAGATTTGAGACCAGCGCGCGCTTGAGCATCTTCATTGCTAGCGTGATTGAACCATCCTACGCAAGATCTGGACGCTTTGGTGAAAGAGTTGCTTGTCCATGTTCATTGTTTTGACGGTTCCGTCGTTCGTCGCTTAAAACTTGGTCCAAAGGGTCATAGTCCCTCAGGAAACAATGGACTTTTATTGTTTTTGCACTCGATGATCCCAATCCTGTACTAGGGTCGTTCGTTATCTTTGTTAGCGTTGTGATTTGTTCTGTCATGTTTTGTTTTATGAGTTTATGCCCATTTTTCCCACAGCAGCCAAGGCTACAGGAACATGACACTCGAGATGATCTCCTGGCTGTTTGCGTGCTTGGCGCTTGAGAAACTCTCATCAACACTCATCTCAGGCAAGATAAGTAGTAAGTAGTACAGTATGCGCGGCCGGCCCTGTGACAAACTACATGTCTTTTGGCAGACCACTCCAGAAAAAGCCAAGGTTGAGTCTGAGTTGCGGCTGGGCTGAAAAAGAGATGAGATCTGTGTGGCCTGGTCTTGCGGTGCGCAAGCTCTGCTTGTTTTTGCTGGGCCTGATGCCAGCTGACCAGCATGTGAGCAGAAACATGTGCCACATGATATATGTCAATCAATCGCGATCATTTTATCAAATTATAGTTCATACACTCATGTAACACGTGCGATGTTTACTTCATATGCAAGTGGTTGCGTGCGCAGCTGCGCGTGAAAACGCACAACCGACTTCGAAAAACACATCATATTTGGACAAACAAATCAGGTGTGGAAAAAACAAAACATCTCGGCACACACACTTTCGCCGCAAAGTCTGAGTGTGCTAGACCGGAGTGGACCACACTGCGCGCCCGCCGCACCGGATGCGGCATCGCGCGCGCCGTGCGCGCACCGCGCGCACACCGCAAGCGCGTCGCACGTGCACCGCGCACACACTGCGCGCACCGTACGCGCACCGTACGCGCACCGTACGTTGCACCGTACGCGCACCGTACGCGCGCCGCGCGCCAACTGTACGCACGCATCGCGCACTGTACGCGCACCCCACCGTACACATACGGTAGCCCCCTATCATGGAAGGCTCTTTCATGACTCTCGAATTTAGCTAAATCATATGGTTTGGCAAATTAATACTACACCCACCTGCAAATTCAATATATAGCTGAGGCTCAGCCTGCCAAAGCAAATGCCGAAAGAAGCCGTGACAGGTATAAACACATAGACTGCAAATTTGTCAAGAAAGCCAAAGATTTGCTTAAACAGAATACATTGGCGTAATTATGGTCTGAAATGCGAAATCAACGTGAAAAGGTCTTAATCTTTCGAAGAACAAAAATCAGTGACCAGCTAATCCCACAAAGATCTTCGCGTGCTCGTCGCAATTGCGCAGCGAAATGCGAAATTATAGATACAGCGATGCCTGCCAGGCAAGCAAATGGTAACGCCCTTGGCAGTCGAGTAAGAGAGTGCAAAATTCCAACGGAACCTCTGGGTGTGCTGTCTCTATCGCAATTCTCGATGTTGTTTTGAGAATTCTGCACTCAGTGCAGGTTGTGTGGAGTTTCCATTTGGGACATGTTTGCTGACATGTTGTTTTTGTTGTGTGTTTGGGCGATTCTCGAGTTTGCACTGACTAACTTACTTATAGGTTGTTTGGAATTTCTATTTGGGATATGGATGCCGACATTTTGTGTTGTTGATTTTGTTGTTTGTGTGTGTGCGCGTGCGTGTGTGTTTTTTGACTTCTTGCTTGTTTGGAAATTGTGCATGTTTTGTGTCGCGTTGCCAAAACTGAATCTCAGATTCCGACCTGTTGAATTTGACCCTTGCGGTCACCCGACCCCTCTCGGTTCTCGTTTTGTTTGCTGTCATTGATGGTCAGGGAGGGGGCGCCTTTTCAGTTTCAGTTCACAAGCAACGCATGCCGATTGGCAGCAAAACCTAAAGTATATGCATGCATTTCCTCGATATAGCGGTGAACTTCCACAAATGTTCCATGATTTCTCTATCAAGTCTCTATGTGCTTGCACTTCGTTGTCTATTCATGCCCATGCACTTGTCAATGCGCGTTTTAGGCACATGCGATTTCTCTATGCACTTCCCCTTAAGACCTTGGTTTCTTTTTTGAACAGTGCAAATATGTAGACTCGGACCAAGCCCTGAGGCCCTCCAGAATCCCTCCTGAATGTTTTGCTGCAGTTTGATCCTGCGCTGTTTTAATGTCCTTCGCATGTTTGCACTTGTCACCTGGTAAACTGTCCGCAATTATTTTCAAAGAACATTTCATCGCCTTTCTTGTTCCCCTTCCTCAAGGAAACTTGCTATCTCTGAAGGTGTTTACCAAACAAAGCTGAACCAGCAAAACGCTGCTGAAATTCCGTGCGCGTCCCACCTAACAGAATGAAATTTGAGCATGTTGATCAACACCATGCAGTTGATCAAGTTTGATCAACACCATGCTTTTGAATCAAGTTTGATCAACATTGATTGACCATTTCAGAAACGGAACACTAGACACGCCCCAATCTCCGTGACCATCCCGACCGCCAGACCCAAGCCTGATTTCTGAATGATTTTGTGAGGTGCGAAAGGTCGGCGTTTCGCACCTCATGCCAACCCTCCCAGACACCCATCCCGAGCGTCCAAACATCCCGACCGACCGAACCAAACCTGCTCAGCCGTGCTCAGCTGCTCGGCCGTGCTCAGCCCCGCTCTGCCGTGCTACTCAGCCGTGCGCAGCCATGCTTGGGCCGTGCTCAGCCGGCACGATTCAACGATGAACATGCCGGCTCGGGAAACCCAAGAAGCCAGACATTTGGAGGTTTTTTTTTGCGGAGATCAACTCATTCAGGTTGAGCAGGTTACTACCGATTTCGAGTGAGCTTGCCAAGCTCCTCCTTGAACAGGGTCGCTGAACTGACACATGTAGGCCAGCGGAAAAAGCACCTTTACCAGAATCCAACTAAGTTCTTTTTCAGACCCCTTTGGGTGAGTTTCCCTTTAGCCAAAAGCACATAGTTTGTGAGCAAAGTGCGTTTCTGAATAGATCGCCTTTGGGAAGCCACCGAGGAACGGATCGACCAGCGTGCGGCCGGGGCCCACTTTGTTGCAACTGGGCGCCTACGAGCTGCTCGATCGAGAGTTGGTGCCGGGGGTCGAAAAAACCAGTTGCCCATTGGGATCTCTGCGGGAAGTATAGATATATGGCTTATGAATGGGCCAGGACTAAACCTGCAAGCGAATAGTTGTCCCATTTAACCCTCCAAAGGTTGGGGAATGATTTGTCGGGACCCACGACCTCCCCGAACTCAGATTGTGCAACAAGCCGCAGGGTGCGCTGCCACCGTCGCCACGGCCCTTTTCTTGTATGTGCGGTTTTCTCTCTGAAGCGAGGCGACCGAGCCTTTCCCATGAGGGTTTCTAGTGAAGCGAGGTGCACAAAAGCCCTTTCGACAGGGGCAGTTCACGGGGAGGGGTTGGACCTGCTTTCCCCCATTCACCGAACATTTGGATTGGTGGGGAAGAGGCGCCATTCGATTGTCAGCGACAAGGGAAGAGTCATGATCTTGGTCATGGGAGATGCACGTGTCTAGTTTTTTTTTTCCCCTTACAACTTCCTGGTGCTCAGTAAGGAATGTTGGGGGAATTACCCCTATGAACCATCCAGCTGGTGGAATGAGGGAATGACAAGGAATGACCCGACAAAAATCCATCCAACTGGTGGTTTCCTTTTTTCGGGGACCCATCCCCAGGTTCATTCCATGTCTCATTCCCTACATATCGCACCAGACCTTACAGTGGAGGTCATCCCAGCGACTTGGATATCTCAGGGTGCTGGTGAAGGAGGCGCCCAAGATAGTGCTCCGCAAGGACCGCTCCAGGTTGCCAGTTACGCGGGGTGCGGTTTTCCCGGAGCAATTGTTGCAAAGGGGCCTAAAAAAGGGGGGCCAAAGACCCGAAACAAATCCCTTCCTTTGGAATCAGCGGGCTTTTTGGAGGTTCCAGAGGTGAATCTGAAGGGTCTTAGTCGGTTTGTAAGTGCTTCAGATTCGTTTTTCCTAGCGACAGCCGACAGGTTCCGAGCGGACGCAAGGAGGGTTCGGGCAGGCTCAGAGCCTGCGAAGAAGTTTGGTCGGATGCGGTTGGCTTGCTGGGCCATTTCAAAGTGAGTTCCCTTTTGTGATGTTTACAGGGGCATATTCTTGGAACATATGTTTTGGGTGCTTATGGCATCATTTCCCTTGGCATTTGGTTTTTGCTGCTTTCTTCTAGAGGGTGCCAGCCGAAGCAGTAAACTCTCCATGGGGAAGGTCGGGCCTGACCTTTGAGGTACTGAGATTCTTGGGGCAGTCGGGGGTCACTGGATTTGGTTTTCAAAAATTGATCACTTTACTGGTGGTTTCCATTGACATCGCAACTTTTGAGGCCTTGAACGGAAAAATGGCTCGAAAACCCTGAGTTGGTAAGGCAGTTCGGTCCATTCTTGAGGCCCAAAATAGTTTTGAACATGTGCCGAGATTCTTGGGGCAGGTGGTAACCCTGTTGAAGCTTCCCCCAGTTCCCCAACTTGAAATTATTGTTTTAAATTGGTGGTTTGGTTGGGGCGGTGGCTTCTCACAATTGTAAGGGAATATCCTTTCATACTCGTCACTAGTTGTGTTTGCGGACAGTTGCTTTGTGAGCCAGGTTTGGTGGTGTGGGTCACTAGTTGGGTTTGCGGACCATTGCTTTGTGAGCCAGGTTTGGTAGTTTGGGTAACTGGTTGGGTTTGCGGACCATTACCTTGTGAGCTGGGTTTGGTGGTTTGGGTCACTGGTTGGGTTTACGAATCCTGCCCCACCTAAGAAACCGTGGAAGGATTATTCTCCTGTAAAAACCAGGGTTTCCCATGGTGTCCAGAATGTGCGAAATGGATTTCGTCCATCATGGTTCGGTGGTTTTGTGGCTAACTCAAAAAGGGCTGCCCCCCCCCCCCAAAAAAAAAAGGAAGAAAACAGACACACCCATGGTTTGGTGGTTTGGTGGTTTTCCAACGCTTGAGGACGAGTTCCTGCGCCTTGTGGACCGCCGGTCTGGGGACGAGCGGATGGTGCCGGGCCCCGCAGCGGTCGCCCCAGCACTGGAGGCCGCTCCGAGCGAATAGCGCGAGCGAACGGCACATTTTGATTGTCATTGGGTTGGATGTTTAGACTTTATTTTTTGGGGGAAATTCAGGGGGTTTCCACTAAACCCCAAAAAAGTTGAACTTTTTGCAGGGCGGTCAATAGAAACCAAGAAACGGCTTCGCGGGAGTTCTCCCTTTGGGTCCGAGCTTTCCCTGTCGGCTTCCCTTTGCTGTTGACCCCATTTTTTCTCAACCCCAGTTTATTAATAGGGGAGTAAGGGCCCCTGCAAAAGTGGTCTGATTCCCACAAAACCAAGAGACACCCCTCTATTCATAAACTGGGGTTGACTGATATAGGGTCAACCTTAAAACCTGCTCAAACGCCAAAGGATTTTTCAAAATTTGACGCGTGACTTGCCATGGGCGTTGTGGGAAACCATGGGTTTTGTAAGGGCGCAACGAGCTGCGCCAGGAAGACATGCCTGACGGTGTGGGGAAAGCGGCCACTCGGCTTCGAAGGGCGATGTCCCAAAGTGTTGGGTTATTTTGCATTTTAACATATCACCCCCCCCATTTTTGCCATGGGTTTCCTCCGTTTTCCCTTCTAACTTTATGCAGGTCCAGTTCGCTGGGGGGAAAGCAGGTCGGCTAACCCCCCCCCCACCCCGCAACGGATTTGTCCAATACCCAAAATCCCAAGTACTGTCCAAGCAGCAGCTGTTGGGGTGCTGATAGCAATGTCATTTTCTGTGCACCCCTGTGGCCCAAGTGGCGGTATGTATGAAGTTTTTGCCTTTTGGTTTCTATTGCTGGTTTTGTGGCTCCCTTTGTCCCCTTTTTGCTTGGTCTCTCACTTAAAATGGCCAATTTTTTTTTCGAACTACAGTCACTGGACAACTGTTCTATAGTGTCCGATTTGTGCGGGTTTTGCCTGGCTTTGGGCCATCCCCAGAGTCCTAAGCCAAGTGATCGCATGATCCGTGAGCCGTGAGGGCCAAGCCACTGGCCTGAGGCGCTGCTGGATGGGAACACGGCGGCGCTGATCTTGGACAAGGCCAGGGCATGGGCAGAATTCGACTGCGAGACATTTGGTAGGGGATTTTTTGTTGGTGCCGATCGGGACCCGACGGTCCTGGTCTACTGCGGCAAAGTGGGAGTGAAACCACCACTGAACGAAAAGTGAATGGAGAAGTGGGTTTTTAGGTCGCCACTTCCTGTGAAACCACGTGGACGACTCATGGGAATGACTTAGGCCGCGGCAGCGACCAAGGAACTGCAACGCGGGTGCGCGGAAACCAGCAGGAGCAGCCACGCGACTTGCGAATGTGCCCAGGCCAATCCTGCGCTACAGCGTCTAAGGGCCTGCCCACAGACCATCTGCGTCCAGCGCTTGGCTTTTCGCATGCCCCCACACTGGTCCGGCAAGCGCGCGGAGACGTCGTCCTAAGCAAAACACAACTTCGCCTGGCAAGCCGCACCTCGGGCGCTGGGTGCTCCATGGCACCTCAGGCGCCGGGTGTGTCGCTCTGCTCCACAGCCTTGCAAATGGGAGCAAGCGAGCCAGCGCATCACGAGGTCTTCGAGCACGCGGGCACGGTGAATGTGGTAGTATGCGCCCGCACCATCCAGGCTCAGCACTGTGGCTCGGGGGTCCACTTCGCAGAGGCCGCGGAACGCTTTGGCTGCTCTCTCCGTCCCAGCCCCGCGTGCCGAGGACAAATTGGAATGGCCGGCACGCTGCGTCGAATGCGTCGGGAAAGCTTTTGCGCCAGCGTTTTCGCAACCAACCAGCCTTTGGAATGGTGTTGCGCATGAAGCCAAGTGCCTGCTCCAGCCACCTGTCCGATCTGCGCCAAGGCCAGCTGTTAGGCCCAACTGTTAGGTGTGGTGCAGCATCAAGCAACAAGCTTAAGTGCTCGTTCCATGTAGTTTGATGGCCCGGCTCATGCCGAGCACGCTGCGTGCCGAAAACTCGCTTCCAGCCGACATCCTTTTGCTGCCGACTGCCGTTAGCCCTGCGACGACGGCCGCCGGCCGCGACGACAGCCGCCGGTTGCGTTCTGGCTATCCGCTGAGGCCACTGCTCCACCTGTGCCTGGGGCAAGTCCTGTCTTTGAGGCGGCGAGCTTTCCTGCGCCAGCTGGTCTGCCCACTGTGGTGCATAGCATCGCCCGTCGACTGCAACACTGCCCCGTGCGCCACATGCACTTCCAGCAGTGTCTCCTGTGGGTCTGCTGGGAAGTAGCCGTCCGCTTCTGGAACAAAGCAACAGGCGCAGAGACCGAGACGCTGTCTGGCAGCCGCGCGGCCGTTCACCCCCCCCCCCCCCCCCGGGGTCGAGTGCCAACGTCCGCTGCTAGAGCTCCTGCCAGCAACGGTGCACATTGTTCGAGCGCCGAGCGGTCCAGCGCGGCGGCGGCGGCACATAGAGCCACGAGGTACCCCTGACAAAAACCGCAGCACACAGGACCGCGCGACCACCATGAGCAAGGCAAATCGCCTCGCCTTGAACAGCTGCCCCTTGCTGGTTGCAGCAACGGCGCCGCCCGACGCGTGCGAGGCATCGCGCGGCAAACTGCAAAGAAAGCGTTCGCCAGCCCTGGACCAGAGCGGCTGCTGACAACTCGCGCCGCGGTTCGGGCGTTGTTCTCCGAGACCGGGTGGTTTGCCTCACGCACCCGGCCGCAAGCCGTTCTCACCAGAGGACTCCGAGGGCGCCTGGCACGGCCTGTCTTGCGGTTGGTCATTCTAATTTGGCTGAGTTTTCTTCAATTTCTATATGAGACTTGGTTGCTGACATGTTGTCCCTGGAAAGCCGTATGGCCGATGTTTTTTGGACGGAACCCGTATTTTTTGGATCATTTTTCCCGTATGGTCATTTTTTGCTGGCCGGTGGCCGTATTTGGCCGTATGCAACCCGTATTTTGTTCAACAAATTGTTGACAAAAAGCCGTAAATAACCGTATGGGCATTTTTTGTGGCCCAAGCCGTATGGACAGAAAAAAAACCGTCACATATGGGTTTCCAGGTCGTTTATTTTGCATGTTCGGGTTTCTTTGGATTTGTTCATTTACTGTGTTTTTTTGGTTGATGTCCTCGAGCTTGCGCGGGACATGTCCATCAGAATGCCCCTAGCATTGGCAGTTCTAGATGTGATATTGCAAAGACTTTGAATCAGATATCCAGAGCTTAATTTAGAATTGCCAACACTTAGTCGTAGATTGCCAGTACTTGCCTTAGTATTGGCAATTTTCAATGTAGTTTGCCGCGACTTAATCTCAGTACGTATGTTAGTTTTGTATTGCAATTCTAAACTTAGCAATGCCCAGGCTTCATCTCCGATTTCCAGTACTATAGTATTCGTAGTTTTAAAATTAGTATTGCTCAGCCTCCAAACACAAAAAACATGTTTGTCTAGAATTGCAAATTCTACATTTAGTGTTGCATCTTAGATTTGAAGCACTGAACTTAGTATTGGCAATTTCATATTTGGTATTGCCACTACTTAATTTAAGTTGTTCGCCTCTTGAAATCCACCCTTGCGGTCACCTGACTTTTCCTGGTTGTTTTCTGCCAGTGGTGGTCAGGCATGGCTTTGCGTTCAGTTCACAAATGGCCACATGCTCAGAAGTAGCACACTTGTAGAGTACATGATGCGTGCATGTCTGTGATGCAGTGCACTTTCCCTGAATGTCCCCTACATCCTATATGAACGTCCTATGCTAATTCTATGAGTTGTTTGTTATTTGTTCAATGGTTTCAAACACACGTCAGCAACCCTAGCTGCCCGAAACATGTGTTTGGAACTCGGAGTTCTTGAGTTGTTTTTTGGAACTTTTGCATCTGAGAGTTGTTGTACTTCCATTTTTGCGCCATGAGTTTTTGTTTGGTGGGTTCTCTCCGTGGTTTTGTATGTTTTTGCGTTTACTGAGGCTGAGGGTTTGATAATTTCCATCTGGGACATGGTTGCTTGCATTTGTATTATCTGTGTTGCTTTTCTGTTGTTTTTTGATTCTCGGAATTCATTTGGGACACGGTTGCTACATTTGTTTTGGTTAGTTCTTGGAATTCTTTGTGTTACTAATTTTCCATGGGGGACTTGGTTGCCGACTATTATTTTTGTGGCACATCCCTCTTGTCGCCCGACCGCGCTGTTGCTGACAGCCGCGTGCGTGCTGGCATTGCGAGCCTTGACCCCGTTCGTGCGATGGTCCCCCAGCGAGTCAAGTTGCCGCCCCCCAGCGGCACTGGCGTGGTGCAGCTGGCGGCAGAGCAGGATGGTGCGAAACCCCACATCCGGGGAAAAAGAGAAAAGAAAAATCATGTTTTTTTATTTTTTTTATTTTTTTTTTTTATTTTTTTTTGTTTTTAAACGAACTCCTCCCGCACGGGAGTGTCGTCAACGCGACGCTGCCGCCTGTGCCCGCCTGGGACGGCAGCAGAGCCCAGGACGCTGGCTCAAGTTCAGACACAGCCTGCTGCCAACCACGCGCCGAAGCGCCAAAGTGGCCTGGCTGTTGGCCGGGAGATCGTTTGCCAGGGCCACATGGGTGGCACAGCAAGGCCCCCAGCCCTCAAAGCCTCCGCGGCCTGCACGTGCAGATGGTGTTCGCCGACCGTTACTCCGCGCTTCAAACTTTGGGTCAAACCCGTATGTTGGAGTATGGAAAATCCGTGCACCCCATAATCCGCAATCCGCAAGCCGCACAATCTAACCCGTAAACCGCACAATCCGTAATCCGCGAATCATTAGGGATTGGGTTTTGAAAAAAAAAAGTAAAACAAACAAGCTAGTGTAGAAACCCTGCCGTGAGTCGGCCAAACACTCAACAGCGGTCGCTAAAGGGATGTTCGCCGGGTGGCGCGCCGCGTCTGCAAGGAGGCGCTGTTTCTGCTGGGGAGAATGACCGGCCGGCAGCTGCTCCTGCGATCGCGTTGGACAGCACGTGCGGGTCAAGGGGCGGATGCTGGCGACTGGCGCGCGACGCATCCTGTCCCGGCAACCGGGTGGTCCGACCAAGCGCGCTGCGCTTCCTCCCGCAGAAGGCCTGCGGCGGCCAGCAAGAAAGGCACGTAGATGCGCGAGTTGGTAGCACCCAAGGTTTCGGGCGGCGGCGGCCCGAAAAAGGTAGTCCTGGTCCCGGCTGACGGCGAGCGTCGCGGGTGGCACGGCGCTGTCGCCGACGGGCGCCCTCACTCACGGCAACGTCACTGGCACGTCATGGCACCAAACCATCCGCCGCGCGCACATAGCGCAGTCGGGCCACGGGCCTGGCCTTGGCCGGGCCTGGCCTTGGCCGTGCCTCGCCAGCAGGGATTGCGCGCGCGCATCGCTGGCACTGCCATTGCGGCAGCCACGCAGCTATGCCCGCCTCGTGCCGAATCGGCGCCGGAGACCACACGGCGTCCCTGGAGTCGACCTCCACAAAATCCGCGCCTCCGTGCGGGCCCCGCACTGTAGCCAAGCGCCGGCAACAAAGTACAGACACACGCCCGGGCGCATGTGGTTCAGGAGCATCAACTGCAGTAAAAGTGTGGGGAGGCGTGTGGGGACCGGCGCAGACTGCTGGGCACACAGGTCGCTGAGCACAGCGTCATGCCGATCCATTGGCGGAGCAGCCGCTGCAGAAGCACCCGCAGCAAAGCGGGCGCAACAGGTCAGCTACAGCTGCTGCCTTAACTCGTATTTGCGCAACGCAGCCCAAATGGCACTCAGCGCTGCAAGCGACTATGCCTACGCTGCGGTCCACCAGCTGGACATGTGTGCGCCACCCTAGCTCACCGGCTGCAAGCACATTGCCACGTGCGCCTCAATGAGGGTAAGGCGCACGAGTCTGGAACGTGGCGGTCGCCCCGGGCCTCGCGGGGGGCGGCTCCTTCAACCCGCCGCTGGTGCAGCGGTCGTGTTAAGACTTGCGGAACCAGCCAACCATTAGAACATGTTTTTTTAAGATGTAGAGCAAGCAACAGAGCAAGAAAATAGTGATCCCAAGTTTCGGGTGGGAGACAAAAACAAGAAAATGATTTTAGAGCAAACAGTGGGCACTCAAAAAGCAAGAATGAAGCAAACAAGAGACCAGACATAGCAAGAAAATAACAAGAAACTTGTGAAACAAAAAACAAGAAACTTGTGATAAACCCTCGAAACGAGCAAATCTGCAAATCACAGCGGGAGATCACTATTGTCTTGCTTTTTTGGAGTGGGAGATCA